ATTTCTGTGAATATATAGATAAATAACTAGAGAGGGGGAGAGGGAGGGAGCAAAGGAGAGAACGAGAGAGGGGGGAAGGAGAGAGAGAGGGAGGAGGGAGAGAGAGAGAGAGAGAGAGAGAGAGAGAGAGAGAGAGAGAGAGAGAGAGAGAGAGAGAGAGAGAGAGAGAGAGAGAGGAGGGAGAGAGAGGGAGAGAGAGAGAGAGAGAGAGAGAGAGAAATCCAAAGGCTACAATAAACGTTTCTGCTTTACACGTTTAAAAAAATGCCGAACTTGGTTCTTAGTGTTATACAGTATGGATACAGTAATGTGAAATGTAAGTCATAAGTTTTAACAGTAGCAAAGGTTACAAAAACAATAATAAAAACCAATAAAAATCGAAAACAGCACAATACAAAAGGAGAAATCATACAATGAGACAGAGTTTTAGCATAAAATAGAATATAGTTTAATTCATAGGCAGACCAGTTCTTATTAACGTATGTTCAAGTATACTATTTGAGTCAGCTCGGAAGAAACTTCGCACAACCCACCGGCAGCACAGGCGACGGTTTTGCTGAAAGGGTCAAAGTTGTGTCCATGTGAGTGTTAAACAGGCATAATGGAAAGCCTGAGCCACGTATTCTTTACGGTTAGATGTGCTGTTATCCGCACTGATTCCAGGGCAGTCATGATCAGCTTCAGTTGTGGTATACCCAGTTACAGCATATTTCTGCTGACCGCCGTGCTCCCCACACTGGCAGATGCGTCATGTTAAACTAAATCCTCAGCCACAATTACATTCATGACATCGACCTCGTTAAGAGACTGTGAGACCGCGGAAGGGTTTGGTCAGAAGTCCGACTCGTGAGCTCCCAAGGTGTAAAGCGGCGGCTGTGGGGCGGAGCGGCGTTCAACAAGGACTTTCCCTTTGATCAAGTGAATGACAAGAAATATGAGCGATGTGTACTCTCTGGGATGATCTAAATAGATGTCGGTGATCGTCCACAGAAGAAAGAGTTGCTCCAATTGTGACTGACAAATCAGGAATAGGACTGGTCGCGGTTGGAACTGGTGTGAGCACTTCATTTCGTCAGATACTGTTGGAGTTATTTACTTCAAGTTGTTATTTACTACTTAACAAAGTTGCGTTTCCTTCAGGCGTTCGAGCAACCACCCTGCCTTGCTGACAAGGACCTCGACCGCATTCGCCAGACTGGTGAGGAGCTTAAGCCTGTCGCCGAACGCAGGTATCAGCTCCAATCGGCTGAAACAAACTTGGTGACCCTTTCCTTCACAAATCTCACTGACCTGAATCGAAGCTCTGAAATTATACATCTTAACTTTACTTCACTCTTTATCGAAGAATTTCAGCTTGGTTTTGAGATACCGTACTCGTGGGAAAATAAAATATGGCGTCAGGAAAAGGACCTTCGTGGCGGCCGTGCGCTTCATGGCCTTCACCCACAGTTTCCATTTGCAAATTTTTTAACGTAAAGATATGGAAGATAACGCCACTCAGTAATAACCACAACACCGTGCTTTCCTGACTTCTGCTTTGTCTTCTTCTTATAATTATAATTGTTTTTTCTTTTTCTTCTTCCTCTTCTTTTTCTTCTTTTTTCTTCTTCTCCTTCTGTTTCTTCTTCTATTTTTTCTTCTCTTATTCTTCTTTACTAAGTGTGCACTTCTATACACGACTACTACTAGGGCAGTTGATATTATCATATTTGAATTTCATATTTTTCTGATACTCTTTTAAAAAATATTTATAGTCCATGCATTTTCTTATCTTTTCTTTCTTTCTTACTTACATTTAATTTATTTTCACTTTCTCTCCTTCTTGTTAATATTATTTCTTTTTTCTTATCATCATGATTATCATTATCAATATTATTTTGATATTATCATTAATATCATTATTACTAATACTACTATTATTATCATTATCGTTATCCTTTACAGAGTGTGCGTTGCTATGTATCGCTGCTACAGTTGGTATAGGTATAGCTGAATTTATTCTGTTTTTGAAGGAAGACGTTCTTTGTGTGTGTGTGTGTGTGTGTGTGTGTGTATACACCATATTTTTTTTCATTCTTTCTTTCTTTTTCATTTTCTTTTTTCTCCTTTTTTCGAAAAAAGCTGGCTAGCGGAAGATAATGCAGTAGCTTGTCCCGTAACGCATAAGGTAAAAAAAATCATAAATGCCTAGGGTACTGAAACTTTTTCTTTTCTTATTTGAAAATCATTTAGGATTTTTTTTCTCTCTTTCTCTTTATGAAGCTATGATTTGTTTTGAAACAGAATATCCTGGATTGGGACATGCTTAACGCTCTGTTGATTACCTAAGAATGGCATTGACTTTATATTCCTAAAGAGAGAATCCCAAACAATTATTCCTTAAAAGAATGAATGTGAGTTTTCTGAAAATGATAATCCAAAGGTGATCGTTCCCTCTGCAGTTCAGGTGAAGAAAGGCAACTTAATGTACTGGTAAGCATTGCTCCCTGTACGATAATCA